CCGAACACTTCTGGGTAGATTCGAGGGAAACCAAAGATGGCACAAGGGTGAGGGAAGCCTAAATGTCATTTGGTGTTAATTTGGGAGGAATCTGAGTAGGGTTAGANTTATTTTATTTTTGATTTATTTTGGAGTAGTTTTTCGTAAGGCAAAAATCACGTGCTCACAGTTACTATTATGCTTAAGACCGGATAGTCTAGGACCCAAAAGCATACTTTACCTGAAATAATTATAACCTTATTGACAGTTTAAATTGCTTTAATCGTATCAAAGTGGTAAATGATTTTCTAAAAGAGTTAAACTTCGTTTTCTCGACTTGTAAAAGAGAAATTTGACACCTCCTTGAATAATTGTTTCCCTGATGAAGTCTTGATTGACTTTTGAATGTGTGTTTTTATGTGTACATGCGTCGCATGTATGATTCGCAAGCGGGATAATAGATGCATCTGTGGTTCATGCCATTCGACCCTTTGGCAATGCACGGTTTAAATATTGTTGAATCGGGGCGTACAACCTCGGCATGATTTTCGCATGCTTATATTGCTTGCCTTGAGATTTACAAAATTTGATATTGCCTCCCTGGCCTGAGATAAATTAATGAATGATTAAAATAAATTTGAAACTTTTTTTATTAATAAAAGAATTGTTTGCTTGCTTCATGCTATTGAGTTACAACCGTTTATATAAAAATCCTCGATTTACTATGTTATTGGTATATTATTATTGGACCACTAGTAAGTGTCAAAGTCGACCTCTCTTCTCTACTTCTTCGAGATTAGACAGAATACTTACTGGGTACACGTTGTTTCATACTCATGCTACACTTCTATGCAATTTTTGTTGCACAAGCACATGTATGTCTAGTGGCCTACTTTGGCGCAGTGGCATGGTTGATACGGGGACTTGAGTGAGATGCACTTCTCGAGACGACCCGCAGCCGGCAGAGTCTCCTTCAGAGTGTTGTATTGTATTTTTTTCTACTGTCCAACTTATATTCCGGACGGTTATTGTATTACATTGTTTCCTAGAGAATGCTCATGCACTTGTGACACCGGGTTCTGAGGTGATTATGGGATTATTCAACATTTAGTTTGTTAAGGACATCATTATTTATTGAGTGAATTTCATTATTTATTGTTTAATGTATAAAAGAAATGATTTCAATAAATACTAAAATGTGAATTTAATTAACTTTTTGGTGTTGGCTTGCTTGATGGTGATGTCCGGCGCTATCACGATCCTTGGTGGATTTAGGGTCGTGACATTCACGTGCTTTATTTGATGGTAAAGATACGCACTGACCACTGTGGGCAAAGTGGTATGTCTTAGATACACTCTGCCAAGATTGAGTGCATAAAAGGTTGCCCGTATTGGAAAGGTATATAACAGGGATTTGGCTACAATGTCAACGAGCAAAATATGTATTTTGCGTATCTAATATGACCGCTTTATTTATATGCAAAGACAAGTATACCCTCTCCTGTTAACTGGCACATAACTCAGGTCAGTTCATCTGTTTTACCCAAAATCTCAAATGCTGCCCCATGATTTGCCCAAATCCCATTCTTAGCGGAGAATAAAAATGGCGGGTAATTCAAATCTCCCAAGCACATACTCACTCACACGCACAAAGAAAAACAAGCGGAGAGCGTTAGAAACTGAGATGGCAAAGCGGCGTAGGAGAAACTATGCGGACGAAAATGGATAAACTTAGGTTAAAATTGAGGTTCCCATTCGAAACCAGTCGATTCAACCAAGGCCCAATTATGTAAGGAACTCTTCAATTCCTGGGTATGTTTTCCCCCAATTGCTAATTTGAAGTCTCTCTTTTATTGTGAAGAATTAATATCATCATCTTTCATCTGGTTATGGTAGCCAAAAAGTATGCAACAGTTGTTGCTTGTGCCTGTTTGTTTTGGTATATGACCTACGTATATATATTTGGGACTTCGAAACTCACTTGCCCGACTAATTTAGTTTGGCTAACCATATAGAGCTAGCTCATTTTAAGGGAGAAGTTTTTCATTCTCAGGCTCAAACACGATACATCTAGTTAATGATATATAATTTAGGGGTTGATATACTGCTGCAGCAGAGCTGGGACTATGAGTTGGTACACTCTAGATGGGTACATCATGTTATATATTTCATTTTTTTTTACTTTTAGGATTTGAACAAATCGATTAGACATCTCGTCTAATTTACAACAAGATCGTATCCTGTAATTCACTATCTTAGAAGTTGACTAGTAGTAACATAATTAAATGTGGCAAAGGAAAGTTCGCTACCAATCATAAATAAAAGATTTTTAATTTACGGTTCATACTTGCTGATTCGATGGAAACCTTAGGCTACAAATACATTGGATGAAGAGGAAACAAAATTCGTTTTTAGAAAATAAAATACGTAGAACTATGAAAAAGAGATCGGGGAAAAAAACATTTCACAGGAAAATGGGAGGATATGCGTAAGTTATAAGTTGGAATTAGACATTAATTTTGTGTTTCAAAGTTATGTTTTCATCCCCTTAAGATGCTGCAGGAAAAAAGTTAATTTTTACAGAGCAAGTGTTGTCTTTTTTTCTCTCAACATGTTTTCACGATATTAGTTGACCTTTCCTAAATAGATTGTCTTAATTCATCTTGGTTTTCTTTTAAGGCAGAGGAAAGAAAAAGGACAAATGCTTTTGAGTTGATTTTCTATTGAAGCCAGCTACTTTTCATATATTTTCTGTTTAATCTACTTTCATTATACTGCTAATTGTTGAGTTCCTTAGACCGTAATTTCTTATTGTGCTCTTTCCAAGTTGTTGGTTCCATCGAACGCAAGATTTTTCTCCCTAACTCTTTCTCTAGATTGTCATTTTTTCCTGCGCTCCTTCCAAGTTGAACTATAGTTATATAAGCTGCCTTTAATATTCTGGAATTTTTGTTTTCTCAGTTAATAAATAGACACTCTTCGATTTGTGAACTTGATGGTTGATTACAAATGTATTGTAACTCTTTTAGTTACTGTTTTATTGTCATGTAGTTATTCAGATCTAATGATTTTTTGTATTTTTTTGTGTAGAGCTATTTTATTTCCATGTGAAATGACAAATAATATCCATATGATCGTATATGATAGAAGTTTCCTTTGATATGTCTAAAGTCTAATGTCAATGGGATAATTAATAGATCCATGTGATACAATAATTTTATATCCATGTTATATGACTATTTCTAATGGTGAAAGATGACATTTATAATTCTTTGTCCTTGGACTCTATCATCTTTAATATTATACTTACTAAGAAATGTAAATTGCTATAAACTTGTCATTGCACATGATAACAAAAGGAATCTCGTGCCACATGCATTCCATACTTTAATTACTCTATTTTTATACTCTAATTCTGGAATTCAAAATTCTGAAAAAGGGTAACTAGATCATCTCTCCTTCGGTTGTATGCTTTTAGCTGAAAAAATTGCAGACTTGTTGCTTTTAGTCGATTTTTCTTTTAGTACTAGTCGTTAACTTATGTGCCTTCCTTGAGCATCTCATATCAGTTGTTGAGAAATTTGCATCTGAAAAGTATAACTTTTAACTGCATACATAGTCTTCCAATATTTGTTTAAGCTGTAAAACTTCATTTTAGTTGACCAATCCTAACATTAATCAAATATAAGTTGACCAATCCTCAATGAAAAGAACTTACCCTTTAGCAGGGTCAAGAGCCATTTGAAACAGAAAAAATAAAAAAGAATGATTTGGTAAATGATGATGCTCTTTGTCCTTAATTAAATTCAACTGTAACGTGACAATTAATGCAAATTGCTGATACAAAATTTGAATGGAAATTTATTGAGTGGTTATATGATAGCTGGAAACTAATATAAAATTCCAAACAAAGAGGAAAGAAAAGAACCTCCTGAGTAGTATAATATTTTGTTCTCTATGAAAAGGCTTAGTAGTATCAAACATCTAATTTGCTCCTTCTTCCCCTTTGCAGTTCAACTTCATCACATTTTCTTTTAATCACTCACAAATGTCTCCTAACCAATATCTGTCTTCATTAAATGGTCTTTTTGAACATCTGCAACAACTTGACAATATTTCGAGAGAAATATTCCAGTTCTTTATGCATCAATTCAAATTCCTGGATATTTTTCTCAGTTTGCAGAGCTTCAAAGATGAACCCGACATGCTAGATATCAGTCAGAAAGTCCAAGCACTCTTTCAAGATGCTCTAGTTGACTTTTCTGAATTACACCTAGCTGAGTACTTCAATTTTTGTATCTTTAAGGTACAAAACAAGATTTGGTTGATTAAGATGGAAATTAGAGCCAAATACTCCTTTCCTAAAATATCATCATTACCATTAATTTCAGCCAAGAAGAATGGTAGTGATATTCCCAAATTTGTAATGGATTTCATGGATACTGTGGTGGAGATTCTTCGTGATCTAGTCGATGATCCTTGCTCATCACTTCTTTATGTTCCAGAAACTAATGAACATGTTGAAGATGTTTTAAAGGAATTGAAACTGCTGCGAACTTTTGTTTGCTTTGTCTCAGAGAGGTTCATAGAGCCTCAGAGCCAACATCTTGCTAATTTCTTCACTCATGTTTTGGCTGTGGCCGGCCATGCATCAATGCTTGTCTGGTTGTATTTTTCAAGCTATGGCTACGAAGATCGAGATGTGGCTGTTCTAGGTGAAATCAATGTTTTCCTTTTCTTGCAAATGAAATTTAAGCCCATTCAGCCAAGCATCCGCAAGATCTACATTGCACTCCTGGAAGTTTTAAAGTCGAGAATACAATCAGGATGGTGTCCCAACATCCAAAATCATGAACATGCAGCTGACAGTGAAGCCAACTTTTTGGAGACTATCCAACAGGATTTGGCGGAGCTGCCAACTAATAGTAACTTCAGTCAGAGTGATGCTTTGAAGGATCAATTGGTAATCCTAAAAGAGATGCTCGACATCTTGAGAGCCGATATCATCCATGTGCCAATACGAGATCTTGAAGTTCTTCTTCGAGATATTGACACTTTCATTATTGATGTTGGACTCGTGGTTTACTCATTATATAAAGGTGAGGAGGAGGAGAAGGAAGTCGTGGCAGTGGGAGAAGTGAATCCTGCACTAGTTCTTGATTTGTTGGGAAACATTCAAAAAATAATTATCACGGAGAAACTCATGCCCATTCGGAAGGCGTTTCATTCTAATTACTTGCCAAGAATTCATGGGCTAGGCTACGTTGATTTCATTTTAAAAAACCTGAAAGAGTTCCAAAGCCGCCATTTAGATTCACTAGCTTCTACCACGAAGCTACTTCAAAGGATTCAGAAGGAACTCGAGAGCTGGCAACCTTTTCTAGAGTCTGTTGCAGAAGAGCAACACAATGACATCGACAAAATTCAACGTTGTGCTACACAATTGATTGGCAAAGCATATGAGATAGAATACCTAATTGATGCGTGTATATGCGAAAAAGCTCCTGTATGGTGCCTCGAACATTGGTTCTTGGATATCGTGGAGGACACCATTCTTGTCAAAGATGAGGTTACAGAGATTCATGAAAAGAAAATGGTTGAGGATGCATTAATAAACACTGTCACAACTCGTACAACATCAAATTTGGAAAGGTCTCCAAGGATGAATGAAGAAATTGTGGGTTTTGACGATGTTGTAGAAAATTTAAGAGAACAACTAGTTAAAGGCACCAAAGGGCGAGATGTTATATCGATTGTTGGTATGCCGGGTCTAGGCAAGACGACTCTGGCATATAGACTCTACTCTGACAGGTTAGTTGTTTCTCACTTTGATATTCGTGCTGATTGTTGTGTGTCTCAAGTGTATTCACGTAAGAACTTGTTATTGGCGATTCTACGTGATGTTATCAGTGAGAACTCTGAATTTAGAGAAAAGAAAGCTGATGAATTAGCTGATCTGCTGCGCAAAGCTTTATTTTCGAAAAGATATCTTATCCTTGTTGATGATGTGTGGGAAGCTAGTGTGTGGGATGATTTAATCTGTTGTTTTCAAGATGCCAACAATGGAAGTAGAATCATTCTAACAACACGAAATCATGAAATTGCTGAGTACGCCAAATTTCAAAGTAATCCCTTTTCGCTTCGTATGTTTAACAATGAAGAAAGTTGGAAGTTACTTAGAAAAAAAGTATTTGGGGAAGAAAGCTGCCCTTCTCTGCTAATGAATATTGGGCGACAAATAGCAGAAAAGTGTGGCCAATTGCCTCTTTCAATTGCTTTGGTGGCTGGTGTTCTAGCAGAAGTGGAGAAGAAAGAAGAATGTTGGGAACAAGTGGCCAATAATTTAGTTCCTCACATTCACAACGACTCAAGGGCCATAATAGAAAATAGTTATCAGATTTTACCCTATCATTTAAGGTCTTGCTTTCTTTACTTTGGAGCATTTTTAGAGGACAATGTAATTAATGTTTCGAAGTTAATACGGTTGTGGATCTCAGAAGGATTCGTAAAAGGTTGTGAAGGCAAGAGTTTGGAGGATATAGCAGAAGGTTATTTGGGGAATCTTATTGGAAGAAATCTAGTGATGGGAACTAAGAGGAGTTTTAGAGGTAAGATTAAAGCATGTCGTATTCATGACCTATTGCATGATTTCTGCAAGGTGAGAGCAAAGGAAGAGAATCTTGTCCAATGGATGAAATGGTAATATACCAATTAGTGGTACTCTTTTGGTTCAACTAATTAAATGTTCAAGTCATATTATGATTTTATACTAATTTCTTTATTTACAGGGAACAAACTGCCAATCCTTCTTCCAACATTTCCTGCCTCGAGCAACTTGCTCATCGCATGTCCATTTATGGTAAATGGTATCGTATTGGAGAATGGAGCACGTGTTGGTCACGTGTTGGCTCCATAATTTTGCTTAATGATTGCCTTGCATTTGATATTGTCTCCCAAATTTTTTACAGCTTTAAGTTTCTAAAAGTGTTGGATTTGCAGTTCACTACTATTGATTCTTTCCCAACCGATCTAGTTTACTTGAGATATTTTGCTGCACAAACTCATAAATCGTTGGACATATCAATCATAACCAATTGTTGGAACCTCGAGACTTTGATATTACACAATTATGGAGCGATGTCACTGCCCCTTACACTCTGGAATATGGTTAATTTGAGAAATTTGCATATTTTCCGTTGCAGCTTCAATATAAAATATGCAAAATATTCACTCGAGAACTCGAAAAGCCTTTATGGTTTGAGAACTTTTTCGGCTCCATATTTTTCTTGTGTCGAGGATGCGGAATTGATTTTGAGAAAAACACCTAATCTTCGGGAACTCAAATGCACATTCCTAGATGAGGATGTTGACAAATTTCGGTACTATGTATTGAATTTTCCAACCGAGATTGAGACGCTGAAGATTTATTGCCCATACTTTTGCAAATTAACCATCCCCTTTTGCATCTCCGCACCAAATCTCAAAAACTTGACATTAGAGAGGTATTGCCTGCATCCTCAGCACTTGTCAACAATTGCGTTGCTTCAGAATCTTCAAGTACTCAAAATGAAAAGCATTAAATTTGAGAAGAAGGTATGGGAAGTGAGCAATGGCGACTTCCCTGAACTCAAAGTCTTGAAACTACAAGAAATATTTTGCTTTGAAGAATGGGATGTCACAGATGACGAGGCCTTTCCAAAGCTTGAACGCTTGGTTTTGCGTGAATGCGAATATCTTAAGGAGATCCCTTCTGCTTTTGGAGAGATCTCTTCTCTAAAGTACATTGAGGTAAGGAAATGCCCCGAATCCGTTGACAAGTCAGCCAGGGATATTCGAGAAATACAAGTTGAAGATTATCAGAATACTGGCTTCGAGATCTTTATCCGTGAGAGACGAAAATACCAACTCTTACTCAGGTACATTCCAGTCTCATTTTAAAAACTCAGTTAAATCAATTCTCCAATTTTTCTAACGTGCCTTTACTGATTATTCATTTTGTTTGACACCTATGCTAAAGCTTTAGTATTTAATTGATTTTATCTATTAGAGGTAAACGTCGTTGAAAGAAATAGGTGTACTGTAAATTAAAAAGATGAATATTTTAGCAATAAGAGATGGATAAACGTAAGAAGCCTAGCTGCCTCGGTGTAGTTTTTATTAATGCAAACAAGTTAAAAGGACATTTCATCCTCATAAATATTCTTTTTCAAAACAAATGCAGATAATTGGTTATCCAAATGATTTATAAAGCAAGGCTGAGGGGCTGGTAGCTAGAAGTTGGAACTTTGTTAGAAGTTTTATAAACCAGTTAGTATTTCTGAACGCAAACACTTAACTAGGAACTGTCTTCATGTAGGGTTTCTACATTAATTAGATTTAATATTAGTGTTCTAATCTGCTAATATTAGGTTTGCTCCTCATATTACATGCAAAAAAAAGTCCTTAAATACTTAAAAAGAAAAGGTCATTTGGTAAAAGATATGCTGATCTTTGTCCTTAATTAAAGTCAACTGTCCCTTAATGTGACAACTGATGGGTTGTTGTTATTATTATTATTATTATTATTATTATTATTATTATTATTACAACAACAACCCAGTATAATCCTACTAGTAGAGTCTGGGGAGGGTAGTGTGCATGCAGACCTTACCCCTACCCTGAGGTATAGAGGCTGTTTCCAATAGATCCCCGACATCCTTCCCTCCAAGAACTCTCCACCTTTGCTCTTGGGGTGATTCGAACTCACAACCTCTTGGTTGGAAGTGGAGGGTGCTTACCTCTTGGTTGTATTATGTTAATACAAACTGTTTGGAGTCTAGACACGGCATGGTACTCTTTCTACTACTATATTAATATAGAGGTGGTTTTAAAATAAATATTTTATCGATATAANGCATGGTACTCTTTCTACCACTATGTTAATATAGAGGTGGTTTCAAAATAAATATTTTATCGATATAGGATACTCATATTGATAAAATGATTTGAACCGCTTATTGTAAATTGTAAAAATGGGGATTTTACCCCCTTTATCTAATGCTGAATCGACGTCCTATTCGAAGTACGAAGAGCTTTTTGGATTTGAAAAAAAAAAAGAAACGACTTTGCTGACAATTACATATTTTTTATTTTGTCAAAAGAGTCTTAGAAAAGTCACTAAACTATAAAGACAAATCATTGTAAAAGTCAAATTTTCGGCATTAATTACGACATAATGCATTTATAGCCACAAATATGAAAATCGTGGCTAATACCTAAGAATGGCCACAAAAATTAAATTCTCGTGGCTATTTACAATTGCATAGCATTTTTTAGGTACAAAGATTAAATTGGCAAAGCTTTTGTAATGTGATTCGGGAGATGCTTTTAATCACTCCCGATGAAATTAATTTCCAGCCAATTATGGATTTTTTTATTAAATATTCGTGTTTTTAACTTGACTGAACTCTTGCTATTTCTTAGGCATGTTGTTGTCCATGTTAATATCTGTACNTAATTAGTTATTTCTATTTTTTGGTATTAATTTACTTTATCAAAATTGATAGGAAAATATGTGAAACCATTAAAAAGCAGCAGTCAAACTAAGGTGCAGTTGGAGACAATGTCAGGAGAGAAAGGAAAAGATTGTGCAGCTTTTGGTCCCAAGCAAAATTATAGTACTATAATTGGTGTCATAGAAGAATTGTGTACTGTAAAATATTTTGAGATTTAAATATACAATTATGTGTACCTTGGAAACCTATTTTGGAATCTAAGGATTCTTAGCTACATTATAAAAATTCTTGTGACTACCAATACTTGTGGCAAATTCTTCAATATGTAGTAATGTAATTTTTTTTTATAGCTAAGCACATATATATAATTGTCATGTAACAAAAATATGTGTATATATTCTCACTTTCCGTAGCTTATAAAGAAAATCTTTAGCTATAATTTCTAAACTCGTAGCTAAATACATGAGACTAAGCTATAAAAAAAGCCAGAAAATTTGAATTTCCATGGCAACCAAATTAAATATTTTGCCACAATAAAATTCATTGTGGCTACAATATAGAAACTGCTACATATTTTTTTTGATGAGGCAAAAGAATAAGATTATTCACTATAAGTATATATTTTTTGTGGCAAAAAACTTTTATCAATATAACTACAACACAAAAAATATTTATAGTAATAAGTATTAGTCCTTAGTCACCGAACATGTAAAATTTGAAGCTAACTTTTAATTACGCTATATTTTGCTACAAATGCTACGGAAAAAATTATCGCGGCTAAAGTATTTTGCTACGGAAATTTTCATATTTAGTTTCGATATACTTCGTAGCTATAAACACACAATATTATAGTGATTGAAAAATGACATGTCATTGTCGGCGCCGGGCATCATCTGTTTGCTAGTGTGTACATCCACATCAGAAGGGTTTAAAAACAAAAGAAGGTCATCCAGATGATTGAAGCCATTTGCAGGAAGTTTCTATGATCAGGGGATGTAGATTTATCCAAAAGAGCTCTACTGGCTTGATAGAGATTAGTGGTGGCAAAATGGTTAAAAGAAAATATTATCTACCCATATTATTGATTAAAAAATGAGTTCAATAATGAATTTTTTAAGAACAGGTCAAATATGGATATAAAATATATTATTCACTTACCCAATGAATAACTAATGTGTTTAACTTTTATGTTTGTAAAGCCTCAAATTGAGGGTTCCTCAAATTTAGGANATATATATATATATATATATATATATATATTCATATTATCTGCCGGTTATATCCATATTATTTGCTGTTTAACCCCTTTTTCTTCTGTATTAAATATGGGTCGGATAATTTATACGTGTTTATTTTTCCCGTTCCCGACCAGCCCATTTGTCACCCCTAGTAGAGACTGCCACCCTAAAGTAGTAGGAGGATGGAATATGCCAGATGTGTTTGTGTGGAATAAAGAAGCAGTATGCATATTGCTTTGGAACATGGCCCAAAAGAAAGATAAGTTATGGGTTCAATGGATACACATCTATTATGGAAAAAGAAGGCAGATATTGAACAATGGTGAAACTCCCAAATGGATTTGTATCCTCTATCTGACTACTAGAGGAGGGGCAGTCCGGGCGAAGCCCGGGCCCAACGTGAACAAAATTATACTATTCTAATTATGCTTTTTCTAATTGATATGTTACCCAAAAACGTATAGATTTGCAACAACACTTGCTGATATAAATATGTGTACTATTAAAAAAAAATGATAAACTATTATGTCAAATGAGCTGTTGCAACACTGAAATTTGACTCAAAATTCAAAAGTACTCTTTGACCACTAAATGAGCTAAAAAAGAGAATTCGAGCAAAGAAAGTTCTGTAGCAGTTAGAAAGACTCATATAAAATTCATATGATCACTATCATGATAATTATGTGAAAAGCAAGTTGATTTCCTAAGCGAATTAACTTTATCTTCACGAAACTATTAGATGAAAATCGAGAGTTTGCACCTAAATATAGTCAATGAAGATATGATATTTCACACCGATTAGAATCTGCAGTCTCAAGTTGGAGGTGAGGAGTGTTTATCACTCGGGCAACCCTCTCTTATCTACGCCCTTACTATCTATTTGCAACAAATAACGGGCGTGTAGTCTCATTTGACACAATTTAGACTTCTCGAAAGTAGCAAACTGGCAAAGGGTACATAAAATTATAAATATATGATAGCATTAATTATTTTTTCCTTCCAAAAGATGAGGAAATTAGTGATGTTTGATTTTTGACTCCATGGAAAACATCAATTTACTCCATGCAATAGCATTTACTAAAAAAAATTGGATTTTTAGCGACAACATATAGCGGTGACCCTATATGTTGCTACAACAATTATACTTTTAGCAGCGAATTTTATAAGTCGCCACTAAAAGTGATTATTTAGCAGCGACTTTTCTAAGGTCGCTTCTAATGTGACTGAAATTTTCACTCCCGCTCAAACTAAAATTTTGGCTCCATATTATTTGTGGCGACTTTTAAGTTATCGCCGCTAAAGTCTTATTGGAGTGACTAGGTCGCTACTAGACCCCTTATATTTTACTTGAAAATAACAAAATAAACGAAATAAAACTCTTCCTAATTAAAGGACACAAAACAGAGACGCCCAAACACTTCTCTCTCTCTCTCTAAAATCTCTCCTCCCACTCTCTAAAATCCCTTTTCTGCTAAAATTTTACCCAACTCTAAATCTCTCAAATCAAGATGTGAATCTCATCTATCAGGTTTGTGGTAAAATCCCTAATTTTTCTCTTTTTTCTTTTATGAAAAAAATTGATGTGCATAATGGAGTTTTGTGGAGGAAGAATCGCACATCTAATTTCTCTCCCTAATCTCATATAGCCGCTGGTGGCCTAATGCTTTCTCTAATCTCAGCGACTTTTTGGAGTTTTGTGCATATGTTTAATTGAAAACCCATATCAATTTATATATAAATTTATGTTCAATACAAGATCTGCTTCTATTTTCAATACAAATCACCTTTTTTGTAATTTCACTTTATTTTGTGTTGTTTCATTTGAGCCGAGGGTCTTCTGGAAACAACCCCTCTGCCCCTCGGGGTAGGGGTAAGGTCTGCGTACATATTACCCTCCCCAGACCCCACTTGTGGGATTATACTGGGATGTTGTTGTTGTTGCTGTTGTTGTTGTTGTTTTGTGTTGTTTCATTTGAGCCGAGGGTCTTCTGGAAACAACCCCTCTGCCCCTCGGGGTAGGGGTAAGGTCTGCGTACATATTACCCTCCCCAGACCCCACTTGTGGGATTATACTGGGATGTTGTTGTTGTTGCTGTTGTTGTTGTTGTTTTGTGTTGTTTCATGCTCTTAAGTAATGCCAAAGCAGTGAGCTTTAATTTCTTGTGTCTCGCTTGTGCAGTTGAAGGTTTTTCAGAAGATGATGCAGCTGAAATTATGCCAAACATGAGAATGAAACCTCTCAATCTTGTATATGTATTAGTTTTCCTCCTTTAGTTAAATTTATTTCACGTAAGCTTTGTAGTGTTTGTGCTGATTTTGTTTTGAATATTCAAATTATCTGTCTACAACTAGCAACACAGGTGCCTTTTTGGTTAGCAATTGGTTTTAAAAAACAAAGGGAAATGTACTATCAGACCTCCTGAATCCATGTTCATTGGTAAGTTTTTAGTTGTTGGGTGACTATACTGATCTGTGCTCCCAAATGCAGCGACAAGTTGATTTAAGTTTTGATTCAGATTTGTTTGTTTTGTCTTCTATTGTGGAGAAACTGTTACATATGCTATTTTACTAAGTTAGTTGTTGCTAGCTCAACTTGTATGTCCGTATAAGACTATGAAATCTACAGTACCCTTAAGCAAATGTTCAGTATTGGAATAGAGACGGGCTAAAATAGAGTAGATTGGTAAAGAGGCTTCATATAGCGACCTCAACTTTTGTGGGGTTGAGGGATAGTAAGGATAGTAGTAGTTGTCTTATATTTGTTGCTAGATTACCTTATCTAATAATAATAAAAAAATTCTGAGTGGTTACTGGTTCGTTATAGAATAGAGGGAGTTGTGGTGTCTCCAAACAACTGAGTTTGTTTGAATTGGGCAATTCATATATTGGTTTGTTTCTTTTTCTATTATAGTTTTCTGTTGATTGTGTTTTGGGATTTGGTTATATAGTTTAAATACGTCAGTTTTATCACAACAGTGAAAGATATCAACTGGACTTAAAAAAGCATGGAAAAAGATCCTTCTTTTTGGTATTATGCAAGGCTTATTGAATTGACATATGTGGACATTGTGGGTCGACGACATTATTATCTCATCTACTACATCTTTAGAGGCCCATCATACTCATTGTTCCACCTCAGAATTTGTTCTAGTTACTCATAGGTCTCATGTTTTCTTGCTTAAAACATAGTCATGCTAATACTCTACCAAAACTAAATAGGAAAATTCAATCTCTTATGTTTGTAATTATTAGACTTACAATAATATTAGTTTGTGATTCTTGTAACTTTATATTTGCATCTTATTTTAGAAAGTTCCATGTATTTTTGTCCTTATTAGACTGAATGTAATTTGTTCATGATGATTAAAGATGTAATTTCATAATAGAATCAACAGTGAAGTAAAATCAGTGCTTTATTCTAACATTTTTATCAATTAACTGATTTTAATTCTCTACTATATGAATTAATATTTTCTCTATTTTAATCAGTCCTTTCCTTTTTATGCGATATTTCTGGAAATGAAAGGAACTGGAAAGCTCAACTTAGCATTCACTACTCTAAATACAGTACTAATGAAGAAAGATTGTCTCATCATCCTGAAGATGCTGAACTTGAGGACTGGAAATACCTAATACAATATTTTGGAAGTCCGAATTTTAAGGTAACTTAATACCTGAAAATTCTGCCAACTGAATGACTCCATACCCATCTTGCAATGGTTGTTTATTAATTTGTTGACTTACTACAGGTTGTAAGTGAGAGGAACAAAAAAAAATAGGGAAAAGCAAACAACTAAGCATGCTTGTGGTACAAGGTCTTTTGCATAAGTAGAGGAATCTACGGTGAAAATATATTATTCCCCTATTATCACATATGCACATTTGTTATTTATATATTTGCTTATATGTTTTATCTGGAACTATCTTGTAGAGAAATCCTATTTCGTGGACAAGGATATGGAAACAAGCCTCCCAAAAAAGAGTCACACAACATGCAAACATAGAGTCCAGTATATCTTCTGCTATAGAAATTATGCGTCAAGAGATGCAAGCTGGTATGGATCGGAAGTTGCAAGAAAAACGTGAACAAATGGCTGCTGAGTTGCAAAGAATTATGGAACTTGAGTTGTAAAGGAAGTTGGAATACGAGTTGTCTAGGAAGTTGGCAGAGGACCGTGAACTCGTAAATGTAGAAGTAGAGAAGAGGATCTAGCTAGAAGTGAAAAAGAAGATGCAGGAACAATTTGCTACTTTCATGACCAGAATGCAACATATACTTGCTCTGCTCCTTCTCGACATTACTTCTTCCTTCTCGACATTTCTTCTTCCTTCCTTCTTGAAAATTCTTCTGAGACCGGCTTCCTATCTTCTTTTCAACTTCTTCTCCTTTAACTTTTATCTTCTTGATGAGTCTATAGCTTGATTTGATCAATATATGAATTGTTGGGTTGTTTTGTGTTTATCTAGTTAAAAATGCTTTGTAAAAACTAATGTGCTATTGTCAACAGCTGATGATACAATTAGTTCCTCGTCGATTGACCTCTAGTAACTTTTTAGATATTAAAATATGGTTTTTCAAGATGCTAAAGTATACTCAAGCATAAAAGCAAGCAGCTACGTAATTTTAAATGAAGGAGCCAGAAATTTTAGCTTTTAAAATATAGGTAGATATTACTGTCAGGATCATATTGTTAATGCCCATTCTATATTCCGCAAAATAACCAAATTTTCTTTTTAGTTTTATGGAGAACTTCATTTTTTCTCTGAAAGCACTTGAAAGTCTTGAACAAATGAGCAATCCTGATATAGACACTGCAACCGAACAAAATTTGGCTGTGTATCAGAGACATCCAAAAAGACAATGGGATACACGACCAAAGAACTCATCACAACTTTCAACAATGAAAACCGAATAGACAAACACAAATATTTACTTAAAACACGATAAAAAATCTACAACACAGTAGACAAATAAAAACCGTTTCAAAGCACTCCAGATCATATCCTTGAGCTCCTCACAAAGAACTAAACAGCTAGGTATGAACCATAAAGGTAAAATCAGAAGGTCCTTCATTGGAAGCCACAGGCTGAGTGCTGAACACCTTAGAAATCTTTTCAGTCAACCTTGTATCATTTCTCAGTGGATTGTTGAACGATCTCATTGTACTTCTCAGAATAGTAAGCAGCTGTTGGAGCAACTGCCTAAGTAACTTTAGGAACAATGGGAATCCAACTTAGAGAGAGCCAAGCTGATGTTGCATATTGCTCATTGGCTCGTACTTGGTGTAAAGTCCCTTGGCGGCAGGCTCATACTTGACATAGACTGTTTTTGCAAGTCCTGATGCAGCTCCTATAACACCAGCACTTTTGGCATCGGCTGCAACAGAGCGAGCAGCTGCAGAAGCCTAGAACACGAATTGCAATCTTACGAATAGACTCGTCAACCTGCAATCAAATCAAATAGTGAGCAATCTGATGAAAGAGGCAGAGCAATTTAATAATATGTTTTTAATAACTGACAAAGCATATTTAACTACAAGAAATATGACTACAAAATTTTATAGTGCCAGTTGGTACCAAATCACATACTATTTTCACAAAAGGTGAAAGCTGTTACATAATTTATTCATCAGCCTAATATTATCATCTCTTCATTCGCAAACCAACATAGAAATAGATACATACAATAGCCACAAGAATGCTAAAAAAAACAGAAGCAATATGCATCCCAACAGCCTAGGATTCTACAACAGTTCACCAAATCAAAAGAGCATCCTCACTGTGAAATCCCATAATCAATCCCAATGCAACTAATAAGATATCTCAAATATTTCATGTCTAAACTAACTTTGTGTCTAACAGAAAAATCTCACCACCACAAACACAGTGCATCAACGCCTGAAAACATCCAATTTTCATTTGAAGTATAGGAAGGAGAATATGCTAGTTCAGTTCTATGGAATGTGGAAACAGAAATTTACTTATAAAAGAATTTCCCAAGTAAAGCAGGCAGCAAGAGCGGCTAATTACACTCTCGAATATAAAAAAGAACAAGTATCCTAACAGAGATTCTGAAATAAAAATAGACGATACCATAATTTTTGGTAAAATTATTTAATTCAGAACTCATTAGTTGGTACCAAAAGATAAATTTTATCAAAAAAGGTATAGTAGATGTGTGCAAATCAGGAACAGTTACTAACATGTTTGTAAATTTTTTATCAGAAATTAGTCAAAATAACTGAAAACTAATACTATTTACCAACCAAATTTGTGATTACCAACATTCCAACAAAAATGCGGAGAGCTTGCAGCAGAGATTCAAATAGAACAAAGATACATAAACTTTCTGTAGATGCCAAGGGGAGAATTCGCAGTGAATAATCGAGAACTAAAGGAAAAAATAGAAACATATACCGCGGAAGAGATAATGTAGTGTTCTTATCTCACAAGTCACAGCCACGTTGTTCAGCAACTTTTAGCGTACATCTAGCTGCTCACGCCACTCTTTCAGAATACGAAAAGGCAGGAAAAAGACTTAAAGGTAATACTTAGTATTTACTCGGAGCNGGAGTAAATGCAGTTAGCCTGCAATTTAGAGAGGTACAGCAATTTAAAGATAGAGCTACTTGCAATACCTGAAGGTGGTGTAGCTTACATTCACTCACTCAGTTCAACAAACTTCAATATCTCATAATGGCAAACTTATCGAAACATTGAACTACTATGTGCTTTAACTAACATATCTGACTTCGGAAGAAGGATCAGATTTTTGTCTCATATGTTTGTCATTGCATGTGGTCATCCCTTGTGAAAGTCTTTGTGTATAGTCTGTAGCCTAGAACAGAAGAGAGTACTTAAATTCCATTGGTGTTCATTTATGTTTCATGATCATCATTTGTCACAAAATTTAATATAGTCAAATAAAATAATTAAATTATTAACATATTTGATCATGTAGATTTCTACAATAAGTATAGCAAAATATCACTCACCTATGGGCAGAATGTTGAACGCCTCAAACATAACCCTGGTCTTAATACATAATACAAAATTGTAATTTCTTCGTACTTTCATGCTCTATTAGAAGAGGTTAACCTGTAGCTTATATTATTCCTTAAAGTTCTCCATAGTATGGCATGTAACAAAAAGGATCAACTTTTATACAATATAGACAATACCCACGTGAGATAATGTAAAAAAAGAAAAAAAAATAAGCAAGCAAATATAAAACTTACCCTTTTAAGAAGGATGCATACAAATCCAAGAAACTGAGTAAAGTAGATATGTTGTAAAGTAGTAATGAAAAAGGACAGATATGTTGTGGATAGAACAAATCCAGAAGTTGGGATTGTATAGTAAGAATTGGAGATAAAGCAGAGGTATGTGTACAAGTTAGTTAATAAAAAAAAAAGAGGACAAAGGAGGAAGTCACAGACGAAAACAGAGCAAGCCATGGGAAGATGAAGATGGGGTATAACAACTGAGCAAAGCTGCCCCTTATGCACTGAGAAAGAAAAGTTATCAATCATTTGGAAACACAAGTTGAAGATTATCAGAATTATGGCTTTGAGCTCTTCATGGACAAGGCAAAGAATAACAATTTATATTCAAGTACACAACTGAAAAAATTCAGTTACATACATTCAAAGTCTACTATTTCTCTAACGTGCATTTTACTAATTATTCTTTTGTTTAGACACCTTGTTTAAAGCTCTGGTATTTTAGGTACTATCTTATTTATTGTAAAAATTCTTGAAATAGAAGTACTATCAATTGAAAAAATGAATATTTTAGCCGAAAAAAAAAGGATAGATAAACGCAAGAAAGCCTACATAGTTTCTATCAATGTAAACACTTAATGTAGATTACCTTAGTGAGTGCATTACAATATTATATAGTAGGACATAAACCCACCCTAAATTGAGAATTGAACATGAGATCTCATCTTAGCCAAGGTTGCACTGTGGAAAATGTGTGCTAAAGCAAAATAATCTTATCTACACACTTTCTTCATGCAGGCTTTCTTCTTTAATTAGACTTAACAATTAAGTCTACAGCTATTGACTTAATTGATCACTTTTTCTCCGATAGATGATGATGATAATGGTGATGTTAATGGTGATGATGACGATAACGAGGAGGAGGATGAGTATTAGCCAACACAATTTGAAGATCATGAACTTCTTTTTTTTTTTGATTTGCACCGGGTGTCCGAGTCTCTACGAGTCCCGACTAATCCCGGGGGTGCACAGGCCCTCGGCAAGGAGTTTCCCGCAAGTGCACCACGGTTAATTCAGGTTTTATCCAGTTCGATGACCCTCAGAAATTGTTTGCACCCAGTGGGTTTCGAACTTGAGACCTTGAAAGGGAGCAAACCCCAAGGCTCAAGTTAATTGCCACCACCTCTCATTTGTCTTCTCATCTGTTTAAGACATTTGTATTTTCTCTCTTTAGTATTATTTCACTTGTATTTTTGGAGTGGAATAAAA